TGAGTTGACAGTTTGATACTTTGAAAATTTTGAGCCAGCCCTACCCCCAAGGGCTGTAGGGTGGGGCCCAAAGGAGTCAGTGTGCTAAAATTTCTTCATTTTCCTTGTTTAGAATCAGAGGTGCTAGTTTCAAATACTTTTTAGTCTTAAATCTGTATGCTAGATATTGAATAAGGTGGTTTTATTGTTTTTTGTCACTTTGAATAATATTTCTGTACATGTTAAAAACAAAATCAACTCTCTGTATAAATATATCAGGTGACCGTTAAGGCCCATGGGCCTCTTGTTTGTTTATATTAATTCAGCTTGTGTGAATTTTCATGTAGTTTTTTTTTGGTATCATTTTGTAGAAATACAGGGAAGTCTACCATAAGTTTGAACTGGTGCACAAGAAAATATTGCCGGACAGTCATCGGAGAAAATGGAAAATTGGAGACTGGACAGACGAATCAGACATCATGATTCTCATTTTACAGTCAATACTCAAGAACAAAGGGGAGGTAACCTATCTCTGACAGAATGAAATAATGTATTCCAAACATGTAAAATTAAACATGGTTTTATTAGCTTACCTGGCCCGAAGGGCCAAGTGAGCTTATGGCATGGTGCGGCGTCCGTCGTCCGTCCGGCGTCAACTTTTTACTTTAAACAACTTCTTCTCAGTAACCAAAAGGCCTAGGGTGATGATATTTGGCAAGAAGCATGCTTGGATGAAGGGCTACCAAGTTTGTTCAAATACATGTAAATGACCTTCATCAATTTTCAAGGTCATAGGGGTCAAATATGTTAAAATCTTTTAAACAACTTCTTCTGAATAACCGAGAGGCCTAGGGTGATGATATTTGTCCAGTAACATGCTGGGATGAAGGGCTACCAAGTTTGTTCAAATAAATGACCTTGACATATATCCAAGGTCACAGGGGTCAAATATGTTTAAAACCTTTAAACAACTTTTCTTGAATAACCGAGAGGCCTAGGGTGATGATATTTGGGCAGTAATAAACTGGGATGAAGGGCTACCAAGTTTGTTCAAATAAATGAATTTGACCCACTTTCAAGGTCACAGGGGTCAAATATGTTTAAAACCTTTAAACAACTTTTCCTGAATAACCGAGAGGCCTAGGGTGATGATATTAAGGCAGTAATAAACTGGAATGAAGGGCTACCAAGTTTGTTCAAATTAATGACCTTGACCCACTTTCAAGGTCTCAGAAGGCAAATATGTTTTAAACATTTAAACAACTTCTTCTGAATAACCAATAGGCCTAGGGTGATGATATTCGGCTAGTAGCATGCTGGGATGAAGGGCTATAAAGTTTGTTCAAATGAATGACCGTCATCTTTTTTCAAGGTCACAGGGTAAAATATGTTCTAAACCTTTAAACAACTTCTTCTGAATAACCAAGAGGCCTAGGATAATGCCAGTAACATGCTGGGATGAAGAACTACCAAGTTCAAATGAATGACCTTGACATATATATGTTAAGGTCACAGGGGTCAAATATGTTTAAAACCATTGAATGACTTCTTCTTAATAAGCAAAAGGCCAAGGGTGATGATATTTGGCCATTAACATGCTGGGATGAAGGACTACCAAGTGAATGACCTTCGCCCATATTCAAGGTCACAGTGGTCAATATATGTTTAAATCTTTAAATGATTTGTTCTGTATAACCAAAAGGTCCAGGGTAATGATATTTTTCCAGAAGCATGCTGGGTTGGAAGACTATAAACTCTGTTCANGTGGCTGTATTTTAGTCCACTTTTAAAATTACAAGTGTTAGATTAATACCAGGTGAGCGATGCAGGCCCATTGGGCCTCTTGTTAACTACCCGGTAATAAAAAATATCAGAGTTCTAAAACTTTCAGATTTTGAAGCTCTTCAACTACTGTTTTGTGTATTCTTTTTGCAAAAATGATAATAAGATTAGATAGTGTTTGATGATCACTGTGATCTATCTATAATGTTGTTTGTCTAGATTTATGTGCACTAATTAATATAAGCTGCAGACCAAAGTTACAAGTGTAACATGTACTTTAAATTGGACTAAACTATTTAATTCTATGTTTATGATGATTAGAAAACACAGGTTTCTTCAGACTTTGATATTGAATTCATACGTAACAAATATAAGGTTAGGAATGGCTGTTTCTGCAGACTGAAGTATTTATTATCAGTTTCGGTGCAGAAAAGGATGTAAAAGAATGAATTCTCAAGCATCTATAGTACTTGTTCCTCTATAAAGTAATATTCATTAAAGGTGATCCCGATTGACTTTGCCAAGCGTTTAATCGAGTGGTCGGAACATGGGTTTCCGGAGTTGGAAGACGTGTGTGGCCTGGGAACGTGTCCGCAGGTCAAGGCGGTCATCAACCACCCGCAGTTCTCAGAGGCTCCTGAAAAAGTGAGTATATATATTATGAAAGTGTTTGTAATTTTCTGTTTTCACTGCAGACTGTCCCACATCATTGGTTTCCTAGCTTTTGGAAAGTGTACACCAACTACACTGGTAGATTATGTGGAGACTGAGATAATTTCTTGGTCCAAAGTTAACGGCTGTTTTATTGTAATTGTCTCATGTCAGTATCAGAATCATGGAATCTGGACCATTTTCAATGGGTGTTATTTTTTTTCACAATTTTGAATGACAGAGATATTCAATCTGTTCCAATTGTACTTATTCACTTTCTGTCAACTGGAACACATTAACAATTTCTTTGATGCTGACAAAGTTTTAGAACAATTGAAAATATGTTGAACTTTTTTTACAACTGAACTCTCAAGGATGAAAGCAGGCCACTAATATGTCTGAATAAAACCATCATTATACTTGTGGACATACTCTCTTTCTGACATGGTAAAGCACCAGCGAAAATGAGAAAAGTCTATAAAAAAGTTTCTGAATCATAAATTATTACCTTTATAAGTTTGATAATGATATCACTGAGAAATATAAGTGCTTTAATAACAATAAATTAAACCCAGTTGATATGCAATACCAACAACATCATTAACAGGGATATATAGTTGCTCTGGTTATTTGTAGCTATAGGTAAACATTCGGATAAGAGGACCAAAGTAGTACAATACATAACAAATTGATATGAGCTATATTTAAAAAAAAGGACAAATGATTTCAGTTCGTCTATTTTTCCTGGATTATTATCATCCACAAAGTTGGTTCCACTCTGAATGAACATGTTGTGTTTCTAGGCAGCAGAAATTGTGTGGCGTGACTCCCGTCAATTACTGGCGACTAACAGTGCTATATCTCGCACGGCTGTGATAGGTGTCCACTCTTACAGCACAATAGGCAAAGTCATCAAACACACCCTGGACATCTGTAAAGTCACCCATCCTGACATCAGGTAAGGTCACACACCCTGACATAAAGTAAGGTCAAACACCCAGACATAGGGTAAGGTCATACACCCAGACATAAACTAAAGTCACACACCCAGATATAAGGTAATGTCACACACCCTGGACATCTGTAAAGTCACACATCCTGACATCAGGTAAGGTCAAACATCCTGACATAAAGTAAGGTCAAACACCCAGACATAGGGTAAGGTCACACACCCAGACATAAAGTAAGGTCACACACCCAGATATAAGATAATGTCACACACCCTGGACATCTGTAAAGTCACACATCCTGACATCAGGTAAGGTCACACATCCTGGACATCTGTAAAGTCACACATCCTGACATCAGGTAGGGTCACACACCCTGACATCAGGTAAGGTCAAACACCCAGACATAGGGTAAGGTCACACACCCTGACATAGGGTAAGGTCACACACCCTGACATAGGGTAAGGTCACACACCCTGACATAAAGTAAGGTCAAACACACTGACGTAAGGTCACACACCCTGACATAAGGTAATTTCACACACCCTGACATAAGGTAAGGTCATACACCCTGACATAAGGTATTAATGTCACACACCCTGACATCAGGTAAAGTCAAACACCCTGACATAAGGTAAGGACACACATCCTGACATAAGGTAAGGTCACACACCCAGATATAAAGTAATGTCACACACCCTGACATAAGGTAAGGTTACACACCCTGACATAACATAAAATTACACCCCCTGACATAAGGTAGGGTCACACACCAAGACATAAGGTAAGGTCACATACCCTGACATAAGGTAAGATCACACACCCTGACATAACGTAAGGTAACAAACACAGACATAAGGTAAAGTCAAACACCCTGACATAAGGTAAAGTCAAACACCCTAACATAAGGTAAGGTCACAGACCAAGATATAAGGTAAGGTCACACACCCTGACATAGGTAAAGTCATTCACCGTAAAATAAAGTAAAGGCACATATCCAGACATAAGGAAAAATCACACACCCTGACATAAGGTAAGGTCACACAGTGACACCAAGATTTAAGATAAAGTCACACATAATCTTACCTTATGTCGCAGTGTGTGATTTTATCTTATGTCTTGGCAAGACATAAGGTAAAATCACACATTATGAGATAAGGTAAAAACACATATTCAGTCTTATGGTTAGTTCCAAAATCCGTACATAAGACAATGCATACTGCTCCTAATAGTGAATTATGCTATGTACTTCATTTGTTTGGCCAAAGATACAGAAATGGTAACATCAATTTAGGCCTATTTATGTTATGGTACTGACACATATCTTCTGTCTTCTCACTTACTTTCATGCGTGAACCTTCTTTTTCCTTACATTATATCAGTAAAAAATTTGTTATCTCCCTTGTCCAGGTGTCAAGCATCTTGTGTAGCGGTCACTGTTGCCATTGCCCTAATGCTGCAGAAAAATGATCGCCACATGAAGAAAAATGGGAAATACAATGTGAATGGAATTATTGATGAAACATACAAGTATGCAGCAAGGATACTGAGTACATCAGAGGAGGTAAATTCTCATTTGTTTTCTATAACATCCATATGGATACATAAACAGGAGAACAGTTTAACCTTGGTAAACTAGACCAAGTGTTCCCGGAAAATATCCAGATTGACAAAATTTACAATAACAAAGCATATCTTTGCAGATCAGGTTTTATTTAAAAAATATTTTAAGTGAAGTTCACTTTGTAAATGACCTAACAAAACACACACAAACTCCTAAACAATGTCCAGGATAAGAACAAACTTGCTCTCTGCTTAAATGCTGTTTAGTACACATTTTTCCTACTTACATATACTGGCCCAATGTGACTGTTATTTCTGCTAAAACTCTTCAGGATCTACAACACAAATTTCCAGAAACAAATCTAGTACTAGTATATATTTAATGTTGTTGAACTCTGTCCGTAAAATGAGCATTCATTTTGTGTTGGATTAATAAAGTACCGATTAACAACTGTAACTTTCATCCATTTCTTCAGTAACTAGAGACACATTTGTATTGTATTGTAATATGGTGATAAACAGTAGCTAAGGCTTTATGTTGACAGGTGAAGGAGTTGAAAAGCTACATGTCTTATTGCTCCCTGAAGGATCTGAAGCTAGATGAGCCTGGGCGTACCAACTATACATACAAGACTCTAGGGGCGGGGCTGTGGGCACTCCGTCAGAAGGATTTTAGACAGGCCATACAGGACATAGTGCTTGAGGTATGTTCATAGTATGCTGCTGCATAATTGTACAATTAATGGAAGTAATTTAACAAAATAATCTGTTATGGAATTTCATTATAGATTAATTGGAGTTGATTCTGTAACCAATAAGATTTTGATAAATATCAATCATTGGACCAACTGTAATGTCAGTGATGAAGAAGGGTACATTTACTTGTAGGGAGGAGATGCCGATGCTAATGCTGCTGTGGCTGGAGCTTTGCTAGGCTGTAAACTAGGTGTGGAGGCCATCCCGCCAACGTGGATAGAACCACTGTGTCATCGTATGTGGCTTGACGATATACTGGATGGGTAAGATGTCTTCTTTTGGTGAAATTCATAGGATTTTGATCACAGTATTTTCATTCGCTCAGTCAAACATATTATCAGATTTATAAAGGAACCCTAATCCAGAGGTGTTAGTTATATTGTTTATCCCACGGAAGTGTATATCTATGTGATCCTTGTTTGTTGTCATAGAGATTGATTTATATAGAGAACTTTTCTTACAAACAATTCTTAATATCAGTAATTTTTCTTAGTAAACATTCCACAACAGTAGAGATATTTTGTTACTAAACATTTCTTAATGGTAAGCTTTCAAAATTGAAAATGTTGATTGATTTTTGGTTTTATTTTGCAGATATTTTGATATTTTGGAGGGAAGAAAGACTTCTAAAGAAACGACATTGTGACCTGACACTTATGGAGTTGTCTTAATGTGATAACTGAGGTGTTCCCCAGATAAAATTGTGATACGACAAAGAATTCTACAGATATTCCTGTAAGGAGAGAGAGAGATGGGATTGTGATACTCTACAGGGAATATTAAGATTTTTGTGTGAGGAATTAGGAGATGCAATGACACAAACCTCTTACAGATGTGCAGCGGGGTGTGGGCTTTAAATTTGCAATCTGATCCTTAGATAAATGGTGCAGCATAATTCCTGAATATAAGGAATTGTTGACTTACAGAGACCAGATTTGCATGTTACCTCATGTATATTTTCCGTTCAATAGTGTAACATGACCCATGCAACAGCCTTTCTATGGCTAAACGGGTCTTTAATTACGTACTGTATACCACGAAAATTTCACCGCGGGTTAACTTTCGCCTTTTTGCCCTCCAAAATGGGGGAGAATTTGTCTTGACAACAAATAATAATATGCAATATAGTGTGTAATCATTACATGTGAAGGGCAAATTAACTCTTGGTTAGTATAGATTTCGTCAGAGAAATGCAAATGTTTCCTAGTATACAATATAAACATCACATAGAAAGGCTGGTATCCCTATCATATCTAAGCTGGTAAAAGTGTTATGTGTCTGCCATTATCTTTGTTATTTACATTTATATGTCACCTTTCGTTACAATTCGATACACATATCTATATACAATGTCTTTCATAAGTTTCATTTTATTAGCTCACCTGGCCTGAAGGGCCAAGTGAGCTTATGGCATGGAGCGGCGCCCGTCGTCCGTCCGTCGTCCGTCCGGCGTCAACTTTTTACTTTAAACAACTTCTTCTCATTAACCAAAAGGCCTGGGGTGATGATATTTTGCCAGAAGCATGCTGGGATGAAAGGCTTCCAAGTTTGTTCAAATAAATGACCTTCATCTATTTTCAAGGTCACAGGGGTCAAATACATTAAAATCTTTAAGCAACTTCTTCTGAATAACCAACAGGTCTAGGGTGTTGATATTTTGCCAGAAGCATGCTGGGATGAAAGGCTTCCAAGTTTGTTCAAATAAATGACCTTGATTCATATTCAAGGTCACTGGGGTCAAACATGTTTAAAACCTTTAAACAACTTCTTCTGAATAACCGAAGGCCTAGGCTGATGATATTTGGCCAGTAACATGCTGAAATAAAGGGCTACCAAGTTTGTTCAAATGAATGACCTTGATTTATATTCAAGGTCACAAGGATCAAACATGTTTAAAACCGTTAAACAACTTCTTCTGAATAACCGAGAGGCCTAGGGTGATGATATTTGGCCAGTAACATGCTGAAATAAAGGGCTACCAAGTTTGTTCAAATGAATGACCTTGATTTATATTCAAGGTCACAAGGATCAAACATGTTTAAAACCGTTAAACAACTTCTTCTGAATAACCGAGAGGCCTAGGGTGATGATATTTGGCCAGTAACATGCTGAAATAAAGGGCTACCAAGTTTGTTCAAATGAATGACCTTGATTTATATTCAAGGTCACAAGGATCAAACATGTTTAAAACCGTTAAACAACTTCTTCTGAATAACCGAGAGGCCTAGGGTGATGATATTTGGCCAGTAACATGCTGAAATAAAGGGCTACCAAGTTTGTTCAAATGAATGACCTTGATTTATATTCAAGGTCACAAGGATCAAACATGTTTAAAACCGTTAAACAACTTCTTCTGAATAACCGAGAGGCCTAGGGTGATGATATTTGGCCAGTAACATGCTGGGATGAAGGGCTTCTAAGTTTGTTCAAATAAATGATTTTAAATCATATTCAAGGTCACTGAGGTCAAATATGTTTAAAACCGTTAAACAACTTCTTCTGAATAACCGAGAGGCCTAGGGTGATGATATTTAGCCAGTAACATGCTGGGATGAAGGGCCACCAAGTTTGTTCAAATAAATTACCTTGACTTATATTCAAGGTCACAGGGGTCAAATATGTTAAAATCTTTAAACAACTTCTTCTCAATAACCAAAATGCCCAGGGTAATGATATTTGGCCAGTAGCATGCTGTGATAAAGGGCTACAAAGTTGGTTCAAATAAATGACCTTCTCCCATATTCAAGATCACAGGGGTCAAATATGTTAAAATTTTTAAACAACTTCTTCTTATTAACCGAAAGGCCTGGGGTGTCGATATTTGGCCAGAAGCAAACTGGGATGAAGGGCTACAAAGTTTGTCAAAATTAATTACCTTCACCCATTTTCAAGGTCACAGGGGTCAAATATGTTAAAAACATTAAACATCTTCTCCTCAATAAACAAACTGCCCAGGGAGATGATATTTGGCCAGTAGCATGCTTGGGTTAAGGGCTACCAAGTTTGTTCAAATGCATGACCTTCACCCATATTCAAGGTCACAGGGGTCAAATGTCTTAAAAAACCTTTAAACAACTTNACCCATATTCAAGGTCACAGGGGTCAATTGTCTTAAAAAACCTTTAAACAACTTCTGATGAATAACCAAAAGGCTCAGGATGTTGATATTTAGTCAGTAGCATGCTGGGATCAGAACTACTATGTTTGTTAAAGTGAATGACTTTGACTTATATTCAAGGTCACAGGGGTCAAATTTGTTTAAAATCTTTAAACGACCTCTTCTGAATAACCATGGGTCCCAGGTTGTTGATACTTTGCAAGTTGCATCCTGAGATGAAAGGCTATAAAATTTGTTCAACATAATGACTTTGTTTGACTTTCAATCACAGGTGTGAAATGTTTTAAAAGAAATTAACAGGATCTTTTGAATGAATTTAAATCATAAATACTGATATTTTTCCTGTAGCTTTATTTTAAATCACTTTTAAGGTTAGAAGTGTGAGATTTATACCAGGTGAACGATGCAGGCCCATTGGGCCTCTTGTATTGTGTCCTTGTCGCCTTGATTATTAGTTATAGTGCCAGTAGATAGTAACCACTTCCATGTAGGTGAACTATCAAGAATCTTGTTCTCTTGAAAAAGTTAGTTCGCAGAATTTTTTTTTTTTTTAAGATAACATGATATTTGATATATCGATGGAAGAGTTTTCAGTGCTTTTGAAGTATTGATGTTTGATTTTTCTATTAAAAGTCCTAAAGAACTGTCACGTTTAGATGGCTTTTTGGAAATTAGTAATTTTATGTTTGTTTTTGGCTCGCTGACACCTAGCAGAAAGTGCCTGTGGGGTTATGTTATGGTATGGTGCAGCATCCATCGTCCATCTGTCCGCCAACAACGAAGTGCCAAGTGAGCTTATGCCGTGGCGCGGCGTCCGTCGTCAGTCCGTCTGGCGTCCGGTGTCAATATTTTTCTTTAAACGACTTCCTCTTAATAACCAAAAGGCCTAGGGTGTCGATATTTGGCCAGAAGCATTGTTCAAATGAATGGCCTTCACCCATATGCAAGGTCACAGGGGTCAAATATGTTAAAAGCTTTAAACATCTTCTTCTCGATAACCAAACTGCCCAAGTAGATGATATTTGGCCAGTAACATGCTGGGATGAAAGGCTTCTAAGTTTGTTCAAATGAATGGCCTTCAATTATATTCAAGGCCACAGGGGCCAATTGTTTTAAAAAAGCTTTAAACAACTTCTGAATAGCCAAAATGCCATGGGTGATGATATTTGACCTGTAGAATGACCTTGATTTATATTCAAGGTCACAGGGGTCAATTGTTTTAAAGAACCTTTAAACAACTTCTGAATAACCAAAATGCCATGGGTGATGATATTTGACCTGTAGCATGCTGAGAGGAAGGGCTACAAAGTTTCTTCAAATGAATGACCTTCACCCATATGCAAGGTCACAGGGGTCAAATTTGTTTAAAATCTTTAAACGACCTCTTCTGAATAACAATGGGTTCCAGGATGTTGATACTTTGCAAGTTGCATCCTGAGATGAAAGGCTATAAAATTTGTTCGACTTTCAATCACAGGGGTGAAATGTTTAAAAAAAATTAACAGGGTCTTTTGAATGAATTTTAATCATAAATACTGATATTTTGCCTGTAGCTTTCTTTTAGATCACTTTTAAGGTTATAAGTGTGAGATTTATACCAGGTGAGCGATGCAGGCCCATTGGGCCTCTTGTCTTAAAAATATCTTCTTAAAACTGAAGTATCCAGGGTCCTAATATTTTAGGCTATAATGATAAGAAAGGTTTAAGAGTCTTCTTCTAAGCTCCATAAGTCTCAGGGTCAGGATATTTGACTAGTAGGTGCCTGGCACTTTTAAGGTTACAAGTGTGAGATTTATACCAGGTGAGCGATGCAGGCCCATTGGGCCTCTTGTCTTAAAAACATCTTCTTAAACCTGAAGTATCCAGGGTCCTGATATTTTAGGCTATAATAATAAGAAAGGTTTAAGAGTCTTCTTCTAAGCTCCATAAGTCTCAGGGTCATGATATTTGACTAGTAGGTGCCTGGCATAGAGTAACTTAAGGCGAATTTGTTATCACAAAACTAGTTTTAGCTTCAAACTGATTTTGTAAACTTTCTATATTTTAATGAAATTTAATGGTTTTTCAATTGTTAAAGGTAAACCAAATCCGTTTCGGAAAACTGATTAAACCGCACTCAGGTGTGGTTTTGTAATTGGTTTTCCAATCAAATATGGCTTAGATAGAAAGCGTGATGGTAAAATGTAGTGAATACTATTTTAACTAGATAAATAAACTTATTAAATTATATGGATTTGTTTAAGTTGAAATATTGAAAAATCAATAAAAAAAATGTGCAATTTTGAAAAATTAGTGTCGATAATTTATTTGACAATCCAAGATCATACTTGAAATACCCAGCGAAGTGTATTCGAGTAGTCTTTCTTCAAACACTGAATCAAAATAGATGCACGGAAACTTATGACAGCTATTTCCGGCAGGTGAAGTTTGTTGAAAAATGATTGTTTCTGTCTTTTTAAAATACTATATTATTTTGCTAATTTTTGTTTCCATTAGTAGATTGTACAGGTGTTTTTTTGACAGGCATTTATTTCAACAGTTTTCTACCGATATGAGTATGTAATAACCAATAACACGAGGATATCATCCGTGTCATCGTCATAATATTGAGATAAACTTGAAGTATTAGTGCTGAACACATTTGTTTTGAAGCCATTTTTAGCCCACCTGGCCCGATCGGCCAAGTGAGCTTATGGCATGGTGCGGCGTCCGTCGTCAACATTTTTCTTTAAACAACTTCTTCTCAGTAACCAAAAGGCCTAGGGTGATGATATTTGGCCAGAAGCATGCTGGGATGAAGGGCTACCAAGTTTTTTCAAATAAATGACCTTGACTTATATTCAAGGTCACAGGGGTCAAATATGTTTAAAACCTTTCAACAACTTCTTCTGAATAACCG